AGAAAAAGCCTACAGAGAATAAATCAATCAAGATTGGATCCGATAGAGAGGCCATTGCTGCATGTAAGTCTCATATTCACCAAAGTAACGCTGATATTATTGTAGAGTCAAATGTGAATAACGACACAATGCTCAATTTTGACCCGATGACCCCACCTATAGTGCGAATATCGCGAAACTCCGATATAGCAAATGGACGCTATCTACTGGCTAGATTGAGAGACCCTTCCATCTTAAAAACTCTTAGGCTTTACCTAGCCTATCTCCACGACCAGCCCCCCAATGTGTGTTTTGAAGGTTACACCAACACCAGCATTAAATTAGCGTTAGCATCAGAGGGCCTACCGAGTGACGTGGATTCCTTACGCAAGCTGTATTATCGTTTCCACAGCGCCTATGGCATCGATTCGGCTGAAGTTGAAGCGGATCTTTCTGCCTTCAGATCGTTTTTCTCTTCGGAAAAAATCCAACAGCTTCAAAAAATTAGGGAGAGTCATTCTAAGTACTTTTCTGGTGGTTCTCCAAATAACAAAATTTTTTAGATACCTTGACGCGAATAGAGGAACAAGCACCCTCTGAAACAATTAACGATAGCAAGCTTAGTGTATTTCTCATCAATATTCAGTCCATTAGACACAAAACCGATGAATTATATTTATTATTAGAACACCTACATTTTCCAGAAATTATTGCCATAACAGAGCATTGGCTCAATATTGACGAGCCTGTGTTTGTCAAAAACTACACTACAGTATCTAGGTATACTAGAAGTATACTATCTCATGGAGGTACTGTAATAATGTCCACTAATAACAACTTTTCGGCGATAACCAAGTTCGACAATTTATTATCTGAAAAATTATTCGAATTTTCTATAGTCTACAACAATATCTACGACCTCTACATTGTTTGTATTTACAGAACACCTGACGCTGACTTGGTTACATTTTTTCAAAACTTACTAAGCTTGCTTGAGTCTTTCCCTCTTAAGAGTAAATTAATTTTATGTGGCGACTTTAACATAGATTTTTCCAGTGTGTGTGCTGCTCAAGATTCTCTCCAGTCTATACTTGACTCTTTTGGTATGGTCATGCATGTTCAATCTCCAACCCGAATAACTAAAACCAGATCTAGCACTATCGACTACGTCGTGTCATCTTTTGATCCAAGCTTTGTTGACTGTACTGTCTTAAGTTCAGGGTTTTCAGATCATGAAGCAGTACTCACAAACTTTTCTCTAAAGAGCAATACCAGGATTGCCCCACGTAAGTTTCGCCGAATTTATTCGGAAAAAAATTTCCTCAATTTCAAGCGCTCATGTCAAACAATTGACTGGGGTTGCCTCTCTGATGACATCAATAATGCATTTTCAACATTTTCAAATAAATTATCTGGTTTGGCTTTCAAAGCATTTCCCCTCAGGCCTATCAAAAATAAGCAACATAAACCCTGGACTACTAAAGGCTTGAGGACATCGGCAAAGAACATGCGCTCATTGTCACACCTAAAAAAATTTTCAGACAGTCTCTTCTTTCAAAATTACGTTAAACTCTATAGAAAAATTTATCATAAAACTATAAAAGCCGCCAAAGACACCTATTATAACAACCGGTTCGCTAGAACTGAAAATATTGCCAAAGAAACGTGGTCTATTGTCAACGACTTGAGAAATAAGGCTATCTCTTCCAGTATAACCTCTACTTCCCCTGAGAACTTGAATAACTACTTTGTAAATGTGGCAAAAAATTTAATGACCACTATAGCTCCTTCTCGCGATCCGCTTTCATATCTTTCCAGTACCAATATGAATTTACACAGTTTCTTCCTAACACCCGTAGAAACACTAGAGCTTTTCAGCACAATTAAAGACATAAAAAACAAAGTGTCATCTGGGACTGATGGACTAACTTTAAAAATGTTCTTCAATTTACCGGAGTGTACATTAAATCTCCTCACTGCTTTAATAAATAAATCTTTTCAACAAGGAGTGTTCCCAGATTGCCTCAAGACGGCTATAATTATTCCTCTGCACAAGGGAGGTGATAAGGACCAAGAGTCGAACTATCGTCCAATTGCACTTCTTCCTACTTTATCCAAAATCATTGAAAGATTGGTTAAGAAAAGGCTTCTATCATTTCTGCATAAATATAATATACTAACTATCCACCAATTTGGATTTTTAACCAACAAATGCACTATTGATGCTATGTTCTCTGTCTTCAATAATGTCTTCTCTAGCTTGAACAATTTGCACTCCACAGCATCAATTTTCTGTGATTTTTCTAAAGCATTCGACTGTGTAAGTCATAATATCCTAATTAACAAATTGCAGCATTATGGAATTCGAGGCTCTCCTCTGGAATGGTTCAAGTCGTATCTTAACAACAGAAAACAGCTTGTGAGGGTTGATACGACGACATCTTCATGCAAGCCAATAGAATGTGGAGTTCCACAGGGTTCCGTGTTGGGTCCAATATTATTTTTGCTGTTTATCAACGATATTGCTAGTCTAGACATCAGCGGTAAAATCTGTCTTTTTGCTGATGATACTAGTTTCACTTGGAGCAACCCGGATATTGTAGCTCTTCATAGAACCATGTCCATCGACTTGTTGGCTATTAAAACATGGTGCGACTCTAACTTCCTCTGCTTCAACGCTGCGAAAACAAAAGTTCTATCATATAGAAGTACGATGCAACCTATTGTACTTAATAACACTACTACTATTGACGTCGTTGATTCCGTAAAGTTTTTGGGCCTTATTATAGACAAATCCCTAAAATGGAATTCGCACATCGATTCTTTATCAAAAAAATTAAGTTCCGCTTGCTTTGCGATAAGATCAGTTTCCAAGGAACTCAACTTGTCAACTTCTAGAACAGTCTACTTTGCCCTTTTCGAATCACATCTTCGATACGCCCTTCCATTCTGGGGTTCGTGCTGTGCGACTCAATTTGACCGTATTTTTAAATTACAAAAGAGAGCTATTAGATATTCCCTAAAATTAAAAAATAGAGCTCATTGCCAAGATTTTTTCAAAAAATATAAAATATTAACACTTCCTTCCCTTTTCATACTAGAATCAGTCTGCCTTATCCGCAAACACCTACCCAGTATTTCAGAAAGGCCATTGCATAACTATCCACTTAGAAACGCGGAGCATGATCTTTATCTGCCAACTCCATCCTCCGAGTTAATTAAGAGCTCCATTCTATACAACGCAAAAAAAATGCACAATCATCTGCCAGTAGTCATCAAGTCCATAGCATCTCTTCCTATATTTCGCATAGCTCTAAAATCCTATTTATCAGAGAGAGCCTTATATAAAGTAAATGACTTTTTTCTGACTTAATTTTGAGCGTTCCACACACTGGATCATAGTTTATAGGTAATTTGTTCATTTTTGTATTTGTTCATGTTATATTTGTTTATGTTTATATCATTTTATTTTGACTTTGTATACATGTAGATGTATATAATATGTATTTTTAACTTTAAGGCTTAGTCTACAAATTATGTTATAATTTTTTTGACAATAAAGCATTATTATTTATTTATTATTTAAAAATAGTTATTTATGCAACAAGTGTGTAAAGTGAACCTTTTTTCAAGAATGTGAGCTTTGACGCACGAGCCGAAGGCGAGTGCGACAATCACATGAGTGAAAAAAGGTGCTTTACACATGTATCGCATACAAATTTTTTTCTACTACCGTGCGTAAAGTACTCACTTTACACACTATTCAGAAGACGTAAAATTCCACTTCACGCACTAGTGCGTAAAGTAATTCACTTCGCACACTAGCGCGTAAAGTAATGTCAATGACAGATGTTGATGTTAATTTAGTATTTTTCTGGTAAACTACTTCACGCACTAGTGCGTAAAGTGAAAATACTTCACGCACTAGTTCGTAAAATATTTGTGTAAATCTATTTTTTCACACATATTTGATTGGTAAGTAGTGGAAAAAAGATATTTTGACATAATTTTGTAAAACGTATATCCTTTTCACAATCCGTAGTCCAAAGATAAAGGTAAATTTATCACATTTCCCTATCAAATAGCACTGAAAGGTGATCAATTTTACCTTTACCTTTGGACATCGGATTGTGAATAGATAATTATAGGTATAGCAGTGTCAGACTGTTATATCAGGAATATAGTCTTTTTCTATATACAGGGTGTCCCACGCGGTTTTTCTCAAATGATAATTTGGAACGCATCATCGTATGTTCCACTGTATAATTTTTTATCATTTTCTTTAACAAAGCGTTAACAAACATAGCATTGACGATTTTGTAATTCAATTTTTTAACGTAAAATGCCATAATATACCATGAGTTACATTTAAGATTCGAAAGTTGACGTCACTTGACCGAAATTGAAGCGAAAGTGGTGAAATTGGATGACGATGGTAGAAGCGGCATGAAAAGTTACCCACATCTTCTTCAATTATTTTGGATGATGCGTTCCGATTGTTCCGAAGTTATTACCTGGGAAAAACGTCGTGGAACACCCTGTAAATATGTTTTTTTGCACCTAGTTTATGAAGGGCCCCCTAAAACTTCACTAGCCCCGGGCCCCATGAAAGCTTAATCCGGTCATGAGAACATAGCAGAATACCTGATAGATTAATTAATTAATTAAGTTAATAACTTTATTGTTGTAATTTTATTAATATTGGTTCTAAAATAAATGAATGTTATAATACCATTCCTGTGTCCTGAAGCTAATTTTTCTATTCTACTTATTGTTGTGTAGGTGAGCTGTGTAGCTAATAGTCTCAATTTCCTTTTGTTGTGTCATAGTGCATCAGGATGATTCAACATTTTCTCTTTGGAATCAATACAATAATAATTATTGTCAATCGTGCTCTTTCACATCCCTATGCACTTGATACACTTCATGATTAAGGTCATACCTACCACTTACTTGAAAAATGAGTTTGATAACTGCCTCACATTTCAACCATTTTCCTATTGAACAATCTTCAATTCTAGGACCAACGCTATCAACCTCAACCTCTAGTTTTGAAGCTTTGGACCCCCACGATCCGAATTTGAGCCGCCTCGCCAATAGTCTGTTTAGTAAAACTTCAGAGTACCTTTACGGAGAACTCACATCGACTTTAGATGACTATAAGCTATTGGAAAACATGAACAGAGCAACAATCACAAAATATTCTGATATGAAACATATTGCTGTTAATGTTAGTAAGAGCATGGGAGAATTGAATGAAAAATGTAAGTAAAACTAAAACATTTTTTTTCTATTTTGGTGTCATATAGAAGTCTTTTCGACACTAAAAGTAGTTTCGAAAAGAAACTCTTTGTGACACCCTTTTTTTACTTATCGAAGGTTGGTAACACTGGCTGACTGATGGCCATCGAACTGTCATTCGCGATAAAAAATAATAGAAGATTTCTATATTTGGCATGTAGTGTTACCAACCTAAATATATGAAATCAGGAAATATGAGAATAAAATTTCCAAGAAAAGTTTTTTTTTTTAATTAAACAATACCATAATAGAAAAAATAGTATAAAATATTCGTTTCATAAGACATTTTATCGCACTCGCCCTTTAGAAAACTCGCCTCCGGCTCGTTTTCTAATATAGGGCTCGTGCGATAAAATGACGTCTTATGAAACTTGTATTTTAATGTACTATTTTAAACCAAAATTCATCCATTTTCCCTTCACACCAATGCAATGATAAAAAAAAAATACAATATTACCGAGAATATAACCATATCGCAAACAACAATTTGATGAATTCTCACTATAATTACCTATTCAAACTATTCAATTTTGAATTCCAAAAACCAACGAGAACTTATTTCCAAAATTATGTAAGTAGTTAGGCGACGGAAACAGTCTCTTCTTAAATGAAACACAGGAAGGGAAACTAAACCTGAGCACCCTTGAGATTGACTCATTCATACCAATTAGTACTATGGAAGGGCACTTGAAAACACTCAGGAACTCTCATCCTCCTTTCTGCTGCTCCTTATAAAACAAGACCCAAAAGATCTGGACAGTCAATTTATATCATGAGCCACAGTCATGAGCCAAGCCCAATCTGTGAGTAGCTACTCTCAAAAATCGATTCTGAACTCCTTCAAGGACTGGATTGTGAACAGACTGAACAGCCTATTGGGGTGACCAAAGAACTGATAAATCCGGATTATCCGAGTAGGGTGCCCCCCACGTTGTTGACTTACAGTCTGACTTTTATAATCTGATACTCCAAAGGAATGTGAGTTGGTGGCTCCCTACTTTAGCACCCCAATAATTGTCACCTGACCTCACACCTATTTTTGCTGAATTCTTCCTGCGCTCGCTCCTCATACGAAAACGGTCAAATTAAAAAAGCTAAAGATTACATTATAGAGCTCAAAAATCTAACAGCCTTTGACACAGTATCGGGGGTAAGGTGGCCATTGAATGACATCGCATCTCATCTCGTCAAACTACACTCCCAAATCAAAAATGCTTGCCACTTTCCTGATTTATGTGATATTAATTGTGTAAGAAAATCTCACTGTCTAGGCTAATCTGGAAAAAGTTATCTTGTAACATTTGGCAATATTGAGGTCCACTTTATTCGAAACACATCATTTATCAAAAGAATCGATATCATTTGGCAACACCTGAGCGCCCGAGGCCGAGATTGAAGATTGGAATCCGAGGTGGTAGTCCAGGAATTTAGGCAATGTTCTTATTTGCAAATATCGGCCGTATTTCGTTCTAGATTTTTCGTGAAACTGCAGATTTTGCAAACATTATGCATGTTTCAGAAGTTCAGAACAAATACATAGTTGCGTTTATAGAAAATAACGGCCGCAAATATGTCGAGGTATCTTTTTATTCTTACGGCTGGCCTGCATCCATTAAGCTGTAAGCATAACATTAGCTTATTGTTATGGTTCGAAAAAAGTACGGTTCTAGAACGGTTTAAAACAATCACACAGTTTATCGGTCTATCAACAAAATGACAACGGCTCGGCTATCACAAATTTCAATAACAAATTTTGCGATTGTTTTGAATCGTTCTAGAACCGCCCTTTTTTCGAACAAACAAAAAGCTATTAACAGTACATATCTGCAGTATGACAAAAAATTAATAAAAGTGTTTTTGAATTAAACTTTTAGATGACACACTGATTCCTCTTCTACAGCAGATTGATCAAATAGAAGACAGTGTTATTAAATTGGAGCAAGCTGCCTACAAATTGGATGCTTATTCTAAAAGGTTGGAGACTAAATTCAAAAATTTAGAGAAAAGGTAAACTCAGCATGTGATTTTTCTATTGTTATTGAAAGTTTGTGGTTAATTGAATAATATTATAATAAAAACATTCCAAAACAGCATTTATTTGAGTACAAATTATTCGCTCCTTAAGAAATTTTCCGCATCTTCTGCTTCCTTTTTCCTTTTTTCCTTCAGATCACACTCAATTTGTTCTTTTATGATGTTGATTCTAGTGGTGTCCACACAATCAATAAATCTGTCCATGTGCGATCTACATTTGATTGAACAGCACTTATTTTTTTTTAGACATTGGATGATCTGAAGAGAAAGATTTTCAATCAAATTATTAATAATAAAACATGAAACTTACATCTACAGCACTGCAAAGATTAGGTCTCACATCCTCTATATTGCTCTCAACTTCGTCGGCTAATTTATAAAAGCCTTGCACTGTTAGGCCGTAAGTGTTTGAATGGGCATCGTCCAAGCATTTAAGTTTCATTATCCAATCGTTTTCGGAAACGTTTTGTGGAATGTTCAATACTTCGGCTGAGGCTTGTTTTTCAGCAGCTAAAATTATTTAAATTTTAGCGCCAATATTTTGCGCCTATCGACATTATTTATCATTATTTAATTGAAGAAATTAATCAAAGTCAAAGTGGATTTGTGTTCTTGAAGTTGAAATTCAAATGGACTTCTGGCGAGTTGAATTTTATTTTTAAGGCTGGAAATGGATAGGATTACATCAAACTTTGAAAAGTCGTTCTGTAAACATTCGACGATACAAGAGGTTTGTCTACCTATTAATAAAAAATACCTTATCATAAGGACTTCAAAATTTGTTCATTGAATTAAGTTTTTGAAATTTCACAAACAAAATATTACCTAGGTACACGATTTCAAGCATTGATTTGTGAAATATCGGGTTTTTATTGATTTTTTCCGGTGCGGTGATCGCTTGATAACTATTCTCAAAAATTTCACAATTTCCAAAATAAACTTAAACTCAAATATGGTTTATTGATAGGAAAGGTAGACAAAAGTCTTATGACAAATCTGTTATAAGAATCTGATAGCTAAGAAATCATTATAAAATTTATCCAGTATTTTAACCTAAACTGGAATGAATAGAGCCTAAAATAAAATAAAAAAGAGATGAGAAAAGAAAAGATCTGAGAAACAATAAAAACATTATGATAATAGATGAAGTAGATAATTCAAATATTATGGGAGTACCGAAATCTAAACATATCAAGAAAAAAGAAAAGACTAGTTTAAACGAGCAGCGAATTTTGATCGTGGCGCTATCCAAGACTAGGATTCAGCGCTAAACATTTTTGTTATTAACAGTACTAACTGTCTAATAGGCCGACCAAAAATCAGTTTGTTGGGAAAACCCAAAATAGGGCAAACAAGTTTTCTCCTATTATAGCACTGATATGAAAATTTTGGGTTAATTTTCTTCGCTTTTCCATCCACAGACGCGTTTCGATCTATCAGATCTCATCAGTGCGGCTAGGAAAGCATTGAAACCCAACCCAAGTTTACTGCCTGTAGGCAAAGTAGAAGTAGTACGAAGAGCGAACTTTGGTCGTGGCGCCATCTTAGACTAAGATTCAGCACTAAACAACATTTTTGGTGTAACAGTACTGACCGTCTGATAGGCCGACCAAAAATCAGTTTTTTGGGAAAACCTGGTCGGCAAACAAAGATTGCTTCAGTGTTGCCAGGCGTACCATAATTACGTATTTGTACCATAATTTTGCAGAAAAATACCTAGTAAAATCGCGAATTCAATAATACATAATTTACCATAATTTTGATCTCTTTGTATTTTTCTTAACTTTAGAATACTTCTTTTATTTTGTCATGTTTTTGCTGTTTAGAGGTTTGAGAATTATGCGTGACGTCATAAATCCGGTTGCGTGGACGGTTGATCGGGTGTCGCACCGCAGTGGCATTGACGTTCTTTTCTATCTCACTCTCACTCACGTCAGCGGACAGCACGTCACAATGAAAAACTGTCACTGTTACAGTTCTAATAAAGTTTATTCAAAAATTAATGCATAGAAAAGTGATTTATAAATTCTTAAATAGAACATTCACTGGATTCATCCCCTCCACTTTTTGTTTTAGTTCGTGACTACACCGCTGTGCGCCCATATCGCCGTTTCTCAACGTCCCCCTCGGTTTTATTAGGCAATTTAATCCATCTGTCAAAAAGGAAAATTCAATATGGCGTGGCGGCCAAGCAAGCTTGTTTTGAATATGTTTTTATGTGTATTTCAAATGACTTTGCTTAGATTTTTGCTTGTAACTTTGATTTTGATTATTTAATACGATATTTGTTGACTAGGTACTTAAACTAATCGGGCAGAAACTAGATATTTTTTTGTGTTTTTTGGCCCATGTGTGGCCGCCACGCCATCTTGAGTGTCACGTGGTTTGAATTGCCTAATTCTAATCTCTGACTTCACCGATGAGTTAGCTATCTTTGTTTAGTGAATAGAAAATTACAATGACCGACATAAAATCGTGTATATAAAAACCAGTCATAAAAACGCAGGTGTCCATTTAACATCATAATGCAAATGTCATCTTGTGATCTGAATTAATTTGTTGAGTGCATCGTCGTTGATTGTTTTGAAGTCCAAGACTATGAAAGAAGTGATAAGTGCATCATCATAAGCAGCCGGTTTAAGAGTTGTTGCCACAGTGTTTGTCCAGGCGGCAAAAAATGAATTGGCCAAAAGCGAATTGCAGCCACAGACCAGGGAAATCTACATCAAAAACAACACAGAAACAGAAATTTTGGTTTTGTTGGAGATAAACAACTTAGAAATCGTGTAACTGTATGATGCACATGCTCGAGGAAATTATAAATAACTTGATCAAATATGACAGCCTTTTAACTGGAAAAATGGACATTTCCAAAAAGCAGATTGGAAAGTGTTTCAGTCAGCTCATGAGTCAGATACGCCAGATCATCTATGGATAGATTATAGACTATTTTATTCATTAAGTGATTCTCACATAAATATATGAAAATAAAATGTAGAAAATTTTAGTTTATGAAGTTTTGAAGCATTGCCTTATTTTGAAATAATTGAAATGTCAAACCAGTCATTTAAAACCGAGATTCAAACGGCCCGCCAAATATTAGTTCAATGACTACACCGCTATGGCAGCACCGTCGGAAATGTCACTTGGCGACTACAACAGAAGTGAGCGTTCTATATCAAGAATATAAATCACTTTTCTATGAATTAATGTGTACAGGGTCTGTTCCTTATAATTAGTGCGGCTCCTACAACTTAAACAAAAGAAAATACAAAAAAAAGTTAAATACAAAAGTTGTAGGGTTTTATCTCTATCATCTTTCGTACAGGTCTTAGCATTGGGTATTGATGGTTCGTGGAGCGCAGGTAATTTTCCTTCATGCCTGAAATCTGCAAGAGTGATTCCTCTGCATAAGGGTGGAGATTGTCGGGATCCTTCTAATTATCGTCCAATTTCCTTGCTTTTGACCTTATCTAAGGTTATTGAAAAGATCGTTAAAAACAGAGTATGGTGTTTTCTTCGTTCATACAGTCTTATCTCGTCAGGGCAATTTGGATTTCGGAGCTCCCTAGGAACTCACGATGCTATTTTTGACTTTTTAAATAGGGTTTACCTTGACCTCAATGAGGGGAAGGCGGTGGCTTAGGTATTCTGTGATCTGACCAAAGCCTTCGATTGCGTGGACCACAGCATACTTCTGTAGAGCTCTTCGCTTGCGTGGTTTCGGTCGTATCTGGAGGATCGACAGCAGTCGGTTGTTGTATCCGGCAGTAGGTCTTCAGCTTTGAAAATTGGAAGTGGAGTACCACAAGGGTCTGTCCTGGGTCCCCTTCTATTCCTGATATATATAAACGACCTTGTCAGGGTTAATATATCTGGTCATTTTACACTCTTTGCAGACGACACCTCTGTTGTCTGGTGCAATGATTCTGTTGATATTCTGAGACAAAATGTATCCCATAATGTATCGAAAATAAAGACCTGGTTCAATTGTAATAAACTTTCTTTGAATGTTGGTAAGACACATGTTATGGGTTTCAAATGTGACATGGATGGATTGTGTTTGGATGGTGAACGAGTACATGCGAGCCGCGCCACTAAATTTTTGGGTGTATTTATCGACAGCGAATTGCGTTTTAATGAGCACATCATCAAGCTTAGCAAGAAATTATCATCCGCTTGTTTCGCAATCAAGGCTGCTAGGGACACTCTTGGTTCCAGGGTGGCACGAGATGTATATTTTGCGCTCTTTGATTTCCATTTGAGGTATGGCATACCGTTCTGGGCCATGAGTAGTCAGTACTTGTTGAACATCATAGTTGTATTACAGAAAAAGGCAGTGCGTTATATCGTAGGGGCAGAGACAATCATGTCGTCCAATTTTTATTGAAAATAAAATATTAACTTTAACTTGTTTGTTCTTGAGACTGCTACTCTTATCCACAAGAATTTGGGTGCAAGTGGGCGAATTTCCAGGCAGCACAATACGCGTGGCGCTGATAAAATTTCTCTTCCAATTCCAAGAAGTACACTGACAAAGCAATCATTAATTTATGAAAGCAGAAAAATCTATAACCAACTGCCAACAAACATAAAATCTCTAAATCTCTTAAAAAAATTTAGAAGTTCTTTGAGGGAGCTACTAGTCAGTAAGGCATATTACACCATGGCAGAATTTTATGCTGATTTATTTGCTTGAGGTACTTGCACTGATTGATATTGAGTTTACTTTTGTTATTTTATTTGTTTATTTATTTTTATTTATTTTTTCCCCTAAATTGTAACCCTACCAACATTTATTTTATTTTATTTTTATTTTTTTTGCATATGATCTGACCACTTTTAAATATTTATTGTATTCTTAGTTATAAAGTTATAATTTTGAATTGTGATTGTAATGTATACTTGTTTCACCTGAGCGTTTGATGTTTTTTTAATTTTAATATGTTACCAAATATACTGTTTTTAATTCAAGTTGTTTTGAACTGTTTTAGATTTATACTTAGATTTTGGTTCATTTATTTTATTTCAATTAATTATAGACTGCTTTGTGAATGAGATTGTATTTTGCACAATAAAGCATTTTTTGACTTTGACATGTCAAAATGGGCAAATGACAGGTGCCAACTGTCATAATGACAGCACTTTCACTTTTTTGAATGGAACACCCTGTATATTTTTAGCTAGGATGATAGATTTTTTTCTTCTGATTTTAAATATACCATATATGTTGATATTTGGTTCAGCTGTTTTAACACTATTCAAGTTTAAAAATGCATTTACATTACCCTAAATTAGGTCTGTTCCCGGTTTCTAATATCAATGATAAGGCTTGCTCAATGCAATTTTAAAATGAAATAGCGCAAAAACAGCTGAACCAAATATCAACATATATTGTATATTTGAAATCAGAAGAAAAAAATCTATCATTCAAGTGAAAAATATACAGGGTGTTCTATTTAAAAAAATGCAAGTGCTGTCATTATGACAGTTGGCACCTGTCATTTGCCCATTTTGACATTTGCAAAACATAATAGAGATAAAACCCTACAACCTTTGTATTAAACTTTTTTTTGTATTTTCTTTTGTTTAAGTTGTAGGACTTAAAAGTGGTATATTAGGACGTGAAACGATCTGTAGAATCCGAAAAACGAAAAATATCCAAGGTGTGCCATTTAGTTCCGGTCACTTCCGGTGAAACCGGAAGTCAGGAAAACTTATCATAGATGCATAAAAATGGCGTTTGGTTAGAATATCAACCCTACCAAGTTTCATCGATATCGATGAACAAATGAAAAAATGGCAGCCGGAAAGTAATCTCGTGGGCACCCGGTATATACAGTAGGTACAGTGTACTTACACTCAGTACAAATTTACTGAAATGAAACCCCAAATTCAGAATATTTTGTGTTCCATTTATTGACTGAAAAATTGTGACAGATTTATTCTAGAAATCAAAATGTGCATATCTAGAGATTGGGGTGCATTCTGTGCATATAAATTGAAAGTGTGCATTAATATGCACAATTGTGCAGTTTGGAACATTCCTGAATAGGAGATCGGTCTATTACGGCCATTTGCATCGCTATAGCTTAAGGGATATTTAATCCAAGTAGAGCTTTGCATGTGGTTCTTGTAGGAACAAAAGTCACATTCAAAGCTTCACTTAAATTAAATATCCTTTAAGTGATAGCTGTGCTAAAGTCGATACTCGGGGTTGTTGGGTTGTTCTTTTAATTATTGTCAGTTTGGGTTATATAAAGTTCGCCTTACGAGTCTAGCACTATGGAAAGAATGCGGATAAAAAAATTACAATATTGCCTATTTGACTTCCAATACAAAAAACCTCAATATTTATCTATGTTACACACCTACATTTATAAGGAAAAAGTATCTAATATTTGAAAACGCTGCGCGCACGCCTATGACAGGCAGCATGACGCTCGTTATTGTAGTGTTATTCTCCCTTGCCCTTCAGACGGCGTAGTGCTAGACTCGTAAGGCGAACTATACTTACATTCCTTTTCTTCTCTCGTCAGCCTATCCACGCAACTTTCCGATATATTTATGACAGTTTCGGGCTTCTTTTTTTCGGATCTAGCTGCCGCAGGTGAAGGCGAACAAAACAGTATTCCCATGGTTATTTGAATTTTAAGGCATTTTCCCAATCACTACTAGTTGATGAATGTATTGACATTGAAAGTAATTTTGAAATTTGCTGTTGCTGAAAATTAGCGTGATTGATGTAACTGTCATTATTCTGATTTTTCTCACCTGGCACCTGTTAATTAATTGGTATAGGTACCTATTAGATAAATTTACCTGAATTTCTTATTGCAATGTCCTCATTTTATTGGCTTTTAGCATAATTTATTTCTATTTGTTCAAACCACATCGAAAATTCAAGGAAAATAAGACAAAAGACAGTTAAAAATGATTTACCTACCAACAGAATTATCAAAAATAACAAATTTTCTTCGAAACAACAATCAACCTTGAAGAACAGGATCTTCTTCAATCTTCAACAGACTATATGGGCGTATATTTTCCATTTTATCGCTCCTAAGTAATCAATTAATTTAAAAAAAATCATTCATGTGAATGAATTATTGTTTTTATTGGTGCGTCGTAACTTTAGCTTGGTTTTGCATTACTCACTGTGCTGAATTTAACGACGTCACAATTTGTTTTTTTTTCTTGAAAAACACTTAGAGCAGGGTCTTTGAAATTTTTTTATTCTATTTCCCAAAAGCCTTAATTCACTCAAATGCACTGAAAGTCAAAATTCACAACCCTTCACATTTCGACTATTTTATTGTAAATCGAAAAATAATCGTTTTGTGGAGGTCAAAATTTCCCTTTCACCGATAAAGGTACATAATTGACTATAATAATAAAAAATAAAACATTCATTCATTCATTCATCCTTCATTTCTTCAGATGAGTTCTCAATTGGTTGTTTTTTGGAATTAAAAAAAGACAAAGTTTTCGCTAATGGTTTATAGAAAAAAAATTTTTTTGTCATTTTTATAAGATATTCGCAGCCCTTGTTATTTTAATATATCATAGTAAATAGGGTTAAGTTATAAAAAAAATGTTTTTCAAAAAATCTTCTCCGTCTTTGTCCGGGATCGAAAAATTAGAAATTAGAGATTTCCAATACCTTGCTTTCTCTCTCTCTTCTTTGTGTCCTTCAATCGGAACATACAGGTACGTACTATCTATCTAACAAGGTGGAGTAGGTATTTTGAATTTAACTTCTTTGCCTACCGGTTGGTTGGTTCGAGGCATAGTCAGTTAGGTATATTTTCTACAACTTCATCGTCTAGATTCCTTAACATTGGTCGTTGTTTCGATTATTAGGCTCATTTCTATTCATTCTGCGCTCTACATTCTTATCTCCATTCAACGTTTCTTGATGTCAGAGCATGGTCTCCCCTTGACGCAAGGTGACGTGTAGACACAGTTGTTTTTTGAGCATTAGGTGCATAATAAGAATTAGCTTCTAGGAGTTGCTTTTCTTCCACGATCGGTTCATACTTGCTTTATCTTACATGCTTCCTTAGGAAGACTAGACCAGGAACACTCAACCAGGTTGGAATTGAAGAAACATTTGTAGATCTTCGAGGATAACAGAACATTCTTTCTTGCGTTTTTTTTTTTTGTTTTTTTAAGAAAGAAAGAAAGAATTTGCTTTATTGTCAGAAAATTTTACAATTTTGTGGACAAAGCTGAAAAAATAAAAAACAAAACATACAAATGCAAAAGCACAGACAAAACCAAACACTTGAACAAATAGTTCATGGTCAAAATTTGATTAAAACTAATAAACAAACATCTAGGTCTAACTGCTTATACTGTGCGAGTAAGCATATTATAGGTACTAAAAAAACAAACAAACAATAACTTATAATAACCTATCATGATACAGGAACAAAAACAAAACCTGTGAGCAGGGCCGTACCGATATGACTATCCCTAGGGGGGGGGGGGAAACTGAGATCCGGCGCCCCCTAAGCTCCGCGAAGGCAATCCAAAGGCGAAAAAAAATTAATGACCATTTCCAAATTTTCCCAACTTTAAGCAAATGCGTGGTTCATTATTAGCTTTGTTTTGGTTCGAAATTTGGAACGGTTCTGGGATTTCGTAGAGCTGCTTACGCACAAAAAATAATAGATGGCTTGTTCTAATTCTATTTTTGACCTTAGACCAGGAAAGAGAGAGGACGCGCAACATCCTTTACCTGCACCAGCAGTTGGTTGTGACCGATTATTCCACGCGTGTGTTAGAAATCCCATAAGACAAGTGACGATTTTCAGAATTACAGCGAAAATTCTCTTTTCCATTTGTTTAACTAGAGAGAATTACAGCGATAATTCTCCCATGTTATTGTATACATGGTTGTCTTGCTAATTTTTGATACAAACAAACGGTTCCTGATAGCAACCAGTTATTTGTATTGATTGATAAGATATTCAAATCGTTTAATACATATTTATTTCCATATTTTTTGCACTCTCATACGTGAAATAATCCTGTAAATACCACTTGAGCTTTAAAATGAACCAGATAATTTTTCACTCATGCGTGTTTTCTCTGCAAATTTCACTCGTCCTACGGACTCGTGAAATTATAGAAAACACGCAATCGGGAAAAATTATCGGTAATTTAGAAGCTCTCGTGGTATTATCGCCGAAAATGCCATTATTTGGTGGCAAACTTTCATGGTGTCACTATACGAATTTTAGTCCAGACTAATATTTTTTGTGGTATATAGCATGGTGGGTTGTTCAGCGTATGGCTGCAGAAGCCGCAGAGAAAAAAAAAGTGGACGGGATTACATTTAACAGGAAAAAAACAATTAGGCAATTCAATCCATCTGTCAAAATGAAAAATTCAATATGGCGTGGCGGCCAGGCAAGTTTGTTTTGATTATGTTTTTATGCGTATTTTAAATTATTTTGCTTAGAGTTTTGTTTGCAACTTTGATTTTAATTATTTAATAAAAAAATTGTTGACTAGGTACCTGAACTATTAAATCTGGCAGAAACTAGATATTTTTTTGTGTTTTTTGGCTCATGTGTGGCCGCCACGCCATCTTGATTAAGCAGATATTTTTTGGAGGCAAATTACTTCATTTACACCTGCTGTGATACGAGTCACGAGTCCCCTCTCTTTTCTTGTCTAAGATTTAAACAGTTCCTCCTTCAGAGGAAGAAGTGAGAGAACCGTTCTAGAACAATCCCAAAATTGTTCTTAAATAGTTCTAGATAAACCAAAACACTATCAACACAGTTCGATTACGATTCTGAAGAAACGAAAACGTGTTTCTAATATGCGCATGTGCAGAATGATTCCGAACTAGTTCTGAGTGAAACCAAAACAAAGCCATTGTCTATTGATCATGATCAGTATCAACGATACGTGAGATGAGAACCGAAAGCTGGAGTCTATCACTTACCTTTTGGCTAAAAAATTTTATTTATTTTTTTAATTCTTTGCACTTTGACTATTTTGGCGCCCCTGTGCCAGCTGCGCCCTGGGGGGGAGGCTCCCCCGTCTCCCTCCCTGTTAGCTACGCCCCTGCCTGTGAGTAAGCTGCTCAAAATTTAGAATTAGGAAACCATAAACAACTCGCTTACTGTGTACAAGGCTCTTCCCAGTAAATACACCTTCAACGCCCTGCGAAATTCGAGAAAAGATGCAATGGACCTGATGTTAGGCGGTAGATGATTATGCATCTTTTTAGCATTATAAAGTATTGAACTTTTAACTAACTCTGAGCGCGGGATTGGCAGATAAAGATCCAACTCTGCGTTCCTCAGTGGATAATTGTGAGATGGCCTCTCTGAGATAGCTGATATTAAGTGCTTACGAATTAAGCAGACGGATTCGAAAATAAATAAAGATGGAAGAGTCAATATACTAGACTTGATAAAAAATTCCCGGCAGTGAGTTCTACTACCAAGTCCCAAAGAATAACGAAGAGCTCTCTTCTGCAGTCTAAAAATGCGTTCAAATTGAGACGCACAACACGGGCCCCAGAATGGAAGGGCGTAACGTAAATGCGACTCAAAAAGAGCATAATATACCATCCTGCAAGTTGCCGAGTTAAGCTCCCTGGAAACAGATCTCAGTGCAAAACAGGCCGAACTTAATTTCTTTGCTAAGGCGTCGATATGCAGGTCCCACTTTAGAGATTTATCAACAACAAGCCCCAGGAATTTCACGGAATCAACGGCCTCCATGCTATTGTTATCCAGTACTACAGATTGGAGCGAAGCTCTGTAAGATAAAACTTTGGTTTTAGAGAGGTTGAGGCACAGGAGATTTGAGTCACACCATGATTTGATGGTGATTAAGTCACTAGATACGGTTCTATGGAGTTCCGTAATATCCGGGTTGCTCCAAGTGAAACTAGTATCGTCTGCGAATAGACAAACTTTGCCGCTAATATCCAGACTAGCAATGTCGTTAATAAATAGCAGGAACAAAATAGGCCCAAGAACTGAACCCTGAGGCACACCACATTCAATTGGTTTACAAGAGGACATGGTCGAGTCCACCCTCACAAGCTGACTTCTGTTACCAAGATAAGACTTAAACCATTCGAGAGCAATTCCTCTGAAACCGTAGAACTGTAATTTGTTAATTAAGATATTATGATTAACACAGTCGAAAGCTTTGGAGAAATCACAGAAAATTGAGGCTGTAGAGTGGTGGCAGTTCAGGCTAGAGTATACATTATTGAAAAGGGAAAACATTGCATCATTAGTACATTTGTTACTTAGGAAACCGAATTGACTGGTAGTTAGAATATTATATTTAGAGAGAAATGATAGAAGCCTCTTTTTAACCAATCTTTCTATGATCTTTGATAGCGTAGGAAGGAGTGCAATGGGGCGATAGTTTCAAGGTAGCTCCTTATCACCTCCCTTATGCAGTGGGATAATTATCGCCATCTTAAGACAGTTTGGAAAAGCTCCATTTAGAAACGACTTGTTGATCAGAGTAGTAAGATGTTTTAATGTGCAATCAAGAAGATTAGAGAACATTTTGAGGGTGAGTCCATCAGTCCCAGATGAAGATTTGTTTTTAATATCTTTGATTGTACTGCGAAGGTCTTGTACTACTACAGGCGTGAAGAAGAAACTGTGTAAGTTCACCTTAGCATTCGGGAGATATGAAAGTGGGTCCTGGGAAGGAGTTAAGGTATTCACTAAATTCTTAGCCACATCAACAAAGT